AAACATCTTCCTACCTCCCTAATCGGGGGATTCACCTATTAATGTATTCCCTTTTTGTTTGAGTCGTATTGTAATCCTATTTCTACATTTATAAATGTTTGCTTTTGTGTTCCACGGTTCTTCCTACTAGTTTCGGTATCACCATGTTTCGAATCTCCAAAAGACCAGAAGAAAGAACACAATTGTTAAATCAATAAGCTTACTGGAATATAATATAAGCCACAAATTTTTTACTCTAATCCATGAATATAATTAAATTCCCCTAGAAGAATCCAAGCACCATTCATATTGTCAACAAGGGAAATAATGGAGTTCCACAAATCTTTTCAAATTTGAGCATTGTTATCAACATAGACAACAATAATGCGTAAGTTAACATATGTGGAATAAGAAACATGACTATGGATATATTGAGTCCTAATATTAGGACAAGAAGGTCAAATTAGCATGATTTCATTTCACCCTTATACATCCATTATCCACATAATTAAAATTATCAATGCTATTTTTATTTGAAAAACCTTTAAAACAATTAATAAAAAATGCCGGAAATTGAGAGAAAAACTTTAGCTTCATGAAGATAAATAAGATCAATCTTATTATTTTTAACAAGTTTTATGCAATTAACAATACAACTCTCATTATTAAACTCACGAACATTTTCAACAAGAATATTTGAGTAAAACCTAAACGAAACTAGTGTTTTGAGTTGCCCTGTTTAGATCTACCTTTCTTCGTCTTAAAAATGTGAGGAATAGAGGAGGAATGATTCGAAGCACTAACAATGGTAGGAACATCTTGAATCGAATGAAATGAATATCAAAGTATATTTGCTCAAGATTAGTGCTATAAACTTAAATAACAACTGTAGGAACTTCTTAACGATTATGAACAAACCAATTTGAAATAGTAAGATCTAAGACAGTGGTAACATTAGGCAAGGTAAGCAGAATTTTACCAACTTAAGACAGTCGGTATGTTGAAATCAATAGGAAATATAGAATTGTGATTTAGAGAAGTAGAGGTTAGGGCAGTTTGAATAAGAACATTTATTTCTTTTTCGGGAAAAAAACTTACATCTGGATATCTGCACGTCCGGACGGCCAACCGTCGGACTTCACGTCTCCCGATGCTGACGTGTATGGCGACGTGACACCCATTGGTTGGCCGTCAGGACGTGCAATGTCCGGACATAAAATTTTTTACTTTTTCGGTGACTATAAGACTGGTTGTTACTCCTACCACAAAAATAAGAAAAATAACAAAAGAGGAAAAGTAGAGAAATTTAAGTGAATAAAATGGGGAGATTTTTCATCCTCTTATATAGGGGTGTAAACGAGCCGAACACGAGGGGCATATTTCGAGCTTAAAAAGTGTGTTCGTGTTCGGCTCGTTTGCTTAGCAAGCCAAACACGCGCCGTTCATGAACAAAGAGTCGTTTTGACAACCCTAATCACGTAACCATAAGATGTTAAGGATTGAAGCAAGATTTAAAACATCATTTAAATCTAAACTAATAATTTTTATTCTATTTTCTTCATTAATACTTTTAATTGATTATAAATCTTTGTAGCATCAGCCTTGTAGTCAATTAAATTTTTTAAAAATATTACTCATATATATATATATATGTATATATAATTAATTAATTAATTAGTAGTATGTCGAGTCAAAACGAGCCGAACACGAACAAATAAATTCGTGTTGTTCGTGTTCGACTCATTAACTTAACGAACGAGTTCGACCCGAGCTAGTGAGGAACAACAAGCCTTTTTGACAGCCCTACTATTATAGTCGGAAATGAAAACAGTAATCTTTTTGTGCTATTAAAAAGTTTTGGGTGTTATTAAGAAATTATAAATACAGTATATTATAGATTATATGTAAATGGCCCTCAATAAATACAGCTTCCCCCACGGCCACCGAGGGTAGTCGATTTAGAGAAATATGAGAATGTGGTGCCAGTCGTGCCGAGAAGAGTACAAGGAGAAGGACGCTGGAACCTGCAAGGAATGCTACGAGGAGGCGAGCGAGACAGAGGAAGAGCTGAAGCGCGAAATCGAAGACCTAAAAGCAAAGGTTGCCTTCCTCCGCCTCTCCCCGCCTGTCGACTCCCACTTCGCCAACTCCAATGCCGATCTGCTGCTCCACGGCGTGTCCGAATCACAAGACGGAGCTAACGCCGCCCTCACCCCCGCCGTCCCCGCCCACCGTGCCGTCCTCGTAAGTCTAATCCCTTTCCTCTTTTCTTCGACCATAGATTTTGTTGAATCCGGACCAACTCTTTTAATCCGAGATACATTTTTGGGGAAATGGAAAACTCTCGAATTTCGCTTTGTGAGAATGGTCTTGTTGTTGATTTTGTCTGTGGGGAACAAAGTTACATGAGGCTTAGACGAGGGTTGGTTTCCGTTATGAGTGGTTGGGGTGGTTGATGCTTGATGTTGTAAATTGCTGTATAGGAAATTAGGAGTGAAGTGTTGAAATACATGAATGGCTTTGGAGCAATACTTTTGGTTTTATGTTCTCTAGCTTGATGAACTTGGAATCTTATAAGTCAGTTGAGACAATTGCGTGTCATTTGAAGCTTGTTTATAAGAATCTTGCCAGCATATAAAATCAGAGAAGAAATGCAGAGAGAAAAGAGGTAGAGGAAGGTACCTTGAATAATTCATTCTCCCGTAGCTTTTTACCGTATAGTAATCCGTAAGTATACTTGTGTAGGAGAGGTTTTTTGAGTTGGAGATTTACTTGCCTTGCCCTTAGGCTATACCGCAAGTCTGCGTCACCATAACATTTTGTGATTGGGTTGTTACCGCCTTCAAGCTGATGAGATTTGGAGCAAACTTAAACTTTTGTTTCGGCAGAGGTTTAGTGAAGATATCAGTGGGTTGGTCCTGTGTATTAAGGTAGTGAATTTGAAGGGAGCCATATTGTATTTGGTTACGAATGAAGTGGCAGTCTATATCGATATATTTGGTATGAGCATAGAACACCAGATTAGTAGTGATGGCCATAGCTGAGACATTGTCACAGGAGATCTTTGTGGGACGAGGTTGAAATACCCCAAATTCAGTGAGAAGGCTTTGCAACCGGATTATATCTGAGGTTGCGTCCGCTAATATTCGGCTTCGGTGGAGGAATGGGCAACGATATGTTGCTTTTTAACTATCCACGATATAGGGGTATTACCCAGGAACATACAAAGACTAGTGGTGGACTTGTGGTTTTGTCGTGTTCCCAACCCAATCCATATCTGTGTAGGTGTTTAAGGTTAGATCGCCATGTTAGTTATTGAGACCATAGTCTATGGCGCCATGTAAATACCATAATACCTGTTTCAAAAGCTAAAAATGATAGTTGGTGGGATCATGTAAATACCGTAAGACCTGTTTCAAAAGCTGAAAATGATAGTTGGCTGGATTATACATGTTTTGGCATAGGAGGTTCACAACAAATGTGATCTTTGGGTGCGCGGTTGTTAAATATTGAAGTGCCACCGTGATCTTTCAAAATTCAGTAGGATTCGCTAAAGGATGAGTGTTATGTTGAAGATTGCCCTGCTTCATCTTGTTGGATTGGAGAGGGATTTGAGTAAGATAGTTATGCTGGCCAAGAAATAAGAAATTTTCTATTCGAGTGACATCAATGCCTAAAAATTGAGAGACGGAGCCCTATTGTTTGACTTGAAATTTTGCGCTAAGGCGAGTGGTAAGGGATCGAATTGCTGCCATACTTTCCCCAGTAATTAATATGTCCTTGACATAAAGAAGTATAAAGACCTTGGGACCGGAATTTTGTGAGATGAGCAACAAGGGGTCTGTCTTGCTGATTTGAAAACCTTCTCGTATAAAGAAGTCCGAAATAGTTGCAAACCATTGCTGCGGAGACTGTTTGAGGCCGTATAATGTCTTTTTAAGTAAGCACACGTAATTTCGAAATTATGAATCGATATAACCTACCGGTTGCTTCATATATACCTTTTCAAGTAATGTGTCGTGGAGAAAAGCATTGGAAACATCAGATTGTGACATAGGCCAGTGCCTATTGAAAGCAATAGTGAAGAACACATGAAGGGTAGTCATCTTTTCCATTGGACTAAATGTCTCGTGGTAATTAACTTCGTATTCTTGATTAATAGATTTGCATGATGATTATGGCTTTATGCCTTGCCACTATTTCATCTGAATTGTATTTCATGCAATAAGTTCAGCGACACTAAAAGATCGGTTGATTCACCAATGGTGAAACTAATACCCAAGCACCATGACTCAGAAGAGCAAAGATTTTGTCATTCATGGTGGAACTTCATTGAGCATGCTTGGTTGTCTGTGTGTAGGAAGCCAGATCTGGAGGGTGTTTAAATTGATGCAGAAGATTTAGGTTGGTAATGAGCTTCATATGGTTGGTCTTCATGCGGGTTAGCATATGATGGGGCAGAGTGGGATTCACTGTTGGAGGTAATGGTGTTGGCACTGAATCAAGTGGGATTGGAGTAGTGGACGGTTTTTTGAGGGGTGTGAGTATCGTGAGTTGTTGGAGAGGGAGGTCACTTTTAGATAGTGATAGCGATGGGAAGCATACGGTTGGGGGAACAAGTAGGAGAAGAATAACCGTGTAAATATATTGTGATGGAGGTGTAGCAGAAGAGGGGGATGATTGATATGAAATGGTATTTTCATCAAAGGTAACGTGCCGAGTAATTTAGAACTTCTCAGAGCTGGGTTGGTACCATTTGAAGCCCTTATGGTTAGGGGAATGCCCATGGAATACACAAGGCTAAGAGCGGGGTGCAAGTTTAAATGTGTTGTATAAGGTCATAGCCATGGCTAACGCCGACATCCGAACACTTTGAGATTAGAATAGGTAGGTTGATGTTGATAGGGAGTTCATATAGGGATTGGAATTTGGTATTTTTAGATGGCATTTTGTTAGTGAGATAAGTTGTGGCAAGGACATCGTCTGCCCGAAAATGAAGGGGAAGGGAGGCGTTGGTGCCAGTGTTTGTGTTCCTCAACCCCATTTTTTTCTAGAGTATGAGGGCACAAAATTGATGGAGGATATCATTTTGTTGAAGGAAGTTTTGAAGGAAGGCATTTTTCTATTCATCCCTACCATCAGATCGAAGTATATGTGTAGTTGTATTAAATCGAGTTTGAATCATTTTAATGAATCGAATACTTTTGGGGCTGACCCCCATACATCAGAGGGAACACCCAAAAAAAATACGAGAAATCATTAACAAAAAGTAATTAGTATTTATAACCTTGAGTAGGTGAGATTGGGGCTGGACCCCATACATCACAGTGTATTAAATGCAAAGATGCATATGTATGTAAAGTAGGAAACAAAAGAGGTTGTTTATAACTTTTTTGCAACTGCAACTATTATATATAGAAGGATGTATTTCTATGCCTAAGTTGAGTTGAATTTTGGAGAGTAGCTTGAGAACATCTGGATATGGATGTACAAGGTTTTTGTGCAGAGAGTCAACTGTTGTGTGGAGGTGGCAAGAGCGCAGGGGTTGGGCGGAAGAAAGGAGATCGAGCACAAGTCATCAAAACAGGTTCCCTAGATTAGAGGTTTCTTCGTCTTGGGATCCAAGATAGTAAAGCCATTTTGGTCAAAGAGGATAGCAACATTATTGTCATGAATCAATTTATGAACAAATAATAGATTATAGAAAAGAGATCGAACATACCATATTTGAGGTAGGAGGAGCTTATGGTGAGGTGTCTAAAGGATGCCATCACCAGTATGTACCACAAGCACAGATTGATTGGTGTCCACAGTGACTTGCTGGAGTAGCAAATTTTAAGTGGTTAAAATCTGAAGTAAGATGCGTTGTAGCACTAGAATCCAAGATCTAATTTGAGGATTTTGTTTGGAAGGCTTGTTTGGGAGAATATACTCAATGTTGGACTGATTGCGACGTGTGGCTGTCGAGAGATCGAGTGACCCAACTTGTTACAGATTTGGCAAGTCATTAAGTGTTGGGGTGTGCCTCGGCCACCCTTGGAACGAGGATTGTTCTGAGTTATGCCACTGCCTTGAGCAGGAGAGAACGTCTGACCACGGGTGGCTTTGAGAGCTAGTTGAGGCTTAGAAGTTTGGTCTAGTTTCTGGTTATCACTTGTTATGTTGATCTCCTCACTACAGAGAAGTGAATATAAGTCATCTAAGTCAATAGGTTGTAGTTGAGTATGAATTGTTGTCTGGATGTTTTGTAGGTAGCGGGAAGACTGTTGATTGTGTAGATAATAATATCTTCACGATCCAGGTGTCCATCGATATCGGTGATGTTTTCGACCAGAGTCTCGATGCTAGAGAGATATTGCATCATTTTCGGATTGTTCTTCGATAGGTGATGGAGCTCATTCTTTAGTTGGATGAGTCTCAAATAGTTTGTAGTCTACAGGCGTTTGGCAATAGTAAGCCAAATTTAAGTAGATGCACAACATAAGGTAGTATTGATGTGGAAACTATGGAGTAGAGCGCAGCTGTGAGGTTTTGTTCTATTAAGATTCAGGAAGCAGAATGTGGGTTCGTAACCAGTGGATCCGTGGTTCCTTCTGAGAATTTTGAAGGGCATGGTGTGTTGCTGTCCAGGAAACTTAGAAACCCATTTGCCCTAAAGACTTTGAGGATTTGTTCCTTCTATATTGGGTAGTTGTCTGCTGATTTAATTCCTTGTCAAAGATTTAAGATAGGGAAGAGGAGTTGTGATTTTCAAATGAATAGAAGTTAGACATTTCCCAAGGATCGGGTTCATATAGAAGAACCGAACGAAAAATTAGCAGGAGTATGAAAGCTCGAATAAGCTTGAGCTCAGTGCTCTAATACCATAAAGACTTTTGCAAGCACATAAAACCAGAGAAGAAATGCAGATCTGTCCCTCTAAAATTTTCAATTCTACGCCCGATAGTAATATTTTCCTATATATTTGCACCCAACTTCCAAGGGTTTTGATCTCCCTGAAGTTTGGATGTAATCTTCACTTTAGTTGTAAAACTCAACATATTTTAACAAATCAATTAGCCAGATTGAAA